GGGGCCGCTCCAAGCCCCCCGGCCGCTCTGTTATGGTGGGGCCGCCTCCACCCCGAGTGGTCGTCGGGTCTCCGCGGCCTCGAGTTATTGTAGGAACTATCCGGCCCCGAGTTATTGTAGGGTCTGCGCGGGCCCGGGACCCCCCGGACAGGACTCCTCGCCCCTATTTGGCGGCCGAGGGGTCTCCGCGCCCCCGAGTCGTCTTCGGGACGCCCCGGGCCCGGGTGGTTGTGGGTTCATCCCAACCCCGGGTGACTGTCTCATCCCCGTGGCCCGCGGTGGTCGTAGCGTCCCCGAGGCCGCGGGCTCCCGTAGGTTCCCCGTGGCCCCGAGTCATAGTCGGGACTCCTCGGTCGCGGGTGATTGTCGGGTCTCCACGGGCCCGGGTCGCTGGGGCGGATCAGGCCTCCGCGCCTCCCCCGGGCGCCCCGCAAGGCCGCAGGCAAGATGAACATTCTGGCGCCGGTGCGGAGGGACCGCGTCCTGGCGGAGCTGCCGCAGGTAGGCGCCGGGGCCACGTCGGGCTTCTGGCGGCGGAGGCTGTAGGGGCGGGAGGAGGCGGCATCGGGCCAGCGAGAGGCTCGGCTGCTCCTGGGTGGTCCCCTCCCCACCCCCAGCCCCGGGCTGCTTGGCAGGAGAAGAGGCGGGGAGTGGCTGAGTCTCACTCTCCTGCATCCCCGCCAGTACCTGAGGAAGGAGGCAGCTTTGCACGTGCGCAAAGACTTCCACCCCCGGGTCACCTGCGCCTGCCAGGAGCACCGGACCGGCACCGTGGGGTGAGTTGGAGACACCCAAAACAAAGAAGGGAAGTCCCAGGAAACTCGGTAGTCAAAGCCATGGTGACGTCCACCCCCTTGGGGCTCTGTTGCACCCTCTACCAGCTATATGGTTATTCCTCCTTTTTATGTCCCTGTGTCTACCCCCGCTTTATTTCCAGCAAGGTTATGGGTGAGCCCAATGAGATGGGGTTGGCTAGAAAGGTGGCAGTTCAATTTCTGACACAGAGAAGGGGGTGGTCTCCAGTTCAGCCACCCACATACCATCCATTTGTGCCCCAGGGCCCAGGGCCGGGTTGGGGGTGGGGTGGGGGGTGCCTACATCTTTGAGTCCACTTGTGGATATTAAAGGGAATACTTAATAACAGTTGCTATTGATGTAGCATTTACTGTGTGCCAGGCAGTGTGTTGAATACTGTTACTGTCTTTTATTAAATGGAAAACACCATCACTTTTAAGATGTATCCTGATTTCAGAAATGTTAAAATGTATGTGTGTGGTGTGTGTGTTTGGGGGGGGAGGGTATGTTTCAGAATATAGACCATTTATCTCATTTTAACCTTCACAACAACCCAATACAATATATTCTAAATTTCCACTTAAATGTTGAAACTGAGACAGAAAGGCTAAGTAACTTGTCCTAAGCCCCACAACTAGTAAGTGTGAGAGCTGGAATTCAACCTCATGTCTCCTTAATACTAAAGCACAAAACACTCCTGGCCAGCACATCTGTCCAGGAAAGCTGCCTCGGAGGCCTGGTGTCTACTGGTGTCTATGGCAGTCACAGCCTGGGTGCAGCTACCTTTGTATACCTACTAGGGAGCATTGGGACTCCCTAGAGTGAAAAAACTAGTGCCCACTCCTCCTGCCTCCTCTTGTGTCCAGCAGATTTAAGATCTCCAAGGTCATTGTGGTGGGGGACCTGTCAGTGGGGAAGACTTGTCTCATTAATAGGTAAGAAGGTGCTGGAGCTGAGCTGGGTTGGGCTGGGCAGGGTAGGGCCAGGCCTAGCCAGATGGGCTGGGCTAAGGGCCAGAGCATCTGGTGCCCCCTCAGGTTCTGCAAAGATACCTTTGATAAGAATTACAAGGCCACCATTGGAGTAGACTTTGAGATGGAACGATTTGAGGTGTTGGGAGTCCCCTTCAGTCTGCAGCTGTAAGTGTGTCTTCTTTTACCTCTTCCAGCCATTTCTTCCTCTAGCACCTACACTCCACCTGCCCCCCACCCCCATGCCTCTGTTTCACCCTTCCTTCCTCCCAGCTGGGATACTGCTGGACAGGAGAGATTCAAATGCATTGCATCAACCTACTACCGAGGAGCTCAAGGTAAGGGGTTGGGTAAAGTGGGTAGGTGGCTGCTTCTAATCTAGGGCCGTGGAAATGAGCCAGTAGTGTCTCCCCATCAACCTGGGACTGTTTCTGCCATTCTTCCAGCCATCATCATTGTCTTCAATCTGAATGATGTGGCCTCTCTGGAACATACCAAGTATGTGGGGGTGCTGAAATATATGTGGGCTCTGGGAAAAGAGGGTTCAGAAAAGGGGGGTAGTCACAGGCATGGTAGGGAAGGGAAGAATGCATCTAGGAGCAGAGAGAGGATAATGGGGCATATGAGTGGAAGGAGCCCGCCCAACTCATCCCTTGCTGTCCACCCTCTGTGGCAGGCAGTGGCTAGCTGATGCACTCAAGGAGAATGACCCTTCCAGTGCGCTCCTCTTCCTTGTGGGTTCCAAGAAGGACCTGAGTGTGAGTGTACCGGGGAGGGGGGGTACTTCCCAACTTGGTGAGGGAACCCTCCCCCAGCTGACTCTGACTTTCCTTCAGACTCCTGCTCAGTATGTGTTAATGGAGAGAGATGCACTCAAGGTGGCCCAAGAGATGAAGGCTGAGTACTGGGCAGTCTCATCTCTCACTGGTGAGTAAGAGGCTTCAGGCCTTCTGCTGTGGCATTCCTGCCTACCTTGCCTCTCACTCCTACACCTCCAGCTGTGCCCAGTGACCTCAGGCCTAGAACTGCCCCTGAGCACCCATCTGTTTCTTGTGTTAGGTGAAAATGTCCGGGAATTCTTTTTCCGTGTGGCAGCACTGACCTTTGAGACCAACATGCTGGCTGAGCTGGAGAAATCGGGGGCCCGGCGCATTGGGGATGTTGTCCGTGAGTACCCACCTGGATGAGGGTGGCAGAGAGCATGGGGAACCTCCAATCCCTGCTTCACGTATTTCCCACTCTTCTTCAGGCATCAACAGTGATGATAACAACCTCTACCTAACTGCCAGCAAGAAGAAGCCCACATGTTGCATTTGAGGGATGAGGGACTGCCCAGCCCTGGGACACTGTATGTGTACGACCTTGACTCCCCCAGTGCTCTACCCCTGGACATCTGTACTGACTGTTATTACAGACCAAAGAGCTGCCCTTTGGTGGCAATACCCCCAGAAGCATAGTTGGGACCGTGTTAGTCACTTCCTGACCCTGGGCACCATACCAAAGACTGGATGCCCCTTTGCTCCAGGGACTCTCCAGGGTGCCCAGTGGTGGGGAGGTGGTCCCTGCTGCTTTTGCTCAACATGCTGGGCCTTTTGGGTATGAGGATGCTTAATGACCCCAGCCTCACACTGTGCCTTATGCATTAAAATCTGTTACTAGCAGTCTGGGGGTTGGAGTTCTTTATTGGAGATAAGGGCAGGGCTCTATGGCGATCTTGGAATTGGAGCCTCCAGCTGGGATGCTGGCCAGCCCTGGCCCCTGAGCAGGCCTCAGTCAGGCTGGGAGCTCAGGGACAAGGTTTGGGGGCTGCACTCTCACTGGGTGAGTTCTAAATTGTTGGCTTTGAGAGCCCTTTCCTTTGGTCTCTTCTCCCCAAATGTACCCTCCTACATGGTGCTTATACCCAAATTTCCACCATTGGTCTTCTTTCCCCCACCTGCTGGTCTCTTCCTGCTTTTCCTTTAAAAAAATAGTTCTCTGAGGGGAACACAGTAAGAAGTTACTGATTTTTTTATTGTTATTATTTTTAATCCTCACTTGAGGATATTTTTTCCATCGCTTCTTAGAAAGAGTGGAAGGGGGAGGGGGGGAGAAACAAACATTGATGTGAGAGAGACACATCGATTGGTTGCCTCTTTCACATTCCCCAACCAGGGCTGGGATTTAGCCTGCAGCGGAGATATGTGCCCATGGCTGGAACTGAACCCGGAACCCTTCAGTCCGCAGCCTGACACTCTTAATCACTGAGCCAAACTGGCTAGGGCTAGGGCTTTTTTTTTATTTTTTATTTTTTTTTATTGATTTCAGAGAGAGGAAGAGAGAGGGAGAGATAGAAACATCAATGATGAGTCATTGATGGGCTGCCTCCTGCACGCCCCCTACTGGGGATGGAGCCTGGATGTGCCCTGACTGGAATCGAACCATGACCTCCTGGTTCATAGGTTGACTCTCAAACACTGAGCCACGCCAGGTGGACAAATTTTTTATACCCTTTGGGCTGATCAGAAGGCCCAGGGAGGTAGGGGCTGGGCTCTTATTTAGAAGATATGTTATCTAACATCTAACTATATTAGAGATATAAGCATAAATTATGTTTTATGTTTTTAAACATGATTAAACTAAATTGAGTAAAAAATGAGGTGTATTTTTCCCTCTTCAAAAAAAAAGAAAAAGACATACTCTAAGGACGACCTGCACCTGAATCCTCACTGTTCCTCCTAGGACACTCAGCACTCGGGTAGATCACTTATCCTCTGTGCCTCAATTTCCTCATTTGTAAAATGAAGCTAATAATACTGATGGAGTTTCATGGATGAAATAAGATGAAGCACTAACAAATACATAGACGAGCTCAAAAAACTTAACTGTTATAACTTTACAGGAAGAGTGACTAAGAACCTGGCTCATGGTTGACATCCGACCCAGAGCTATAGGTTGGCTGGAAGTATCTCAGACATCTGGACGAACAATGGAGGGACACATGTGGCCTGGTGCCATCCTGGGAGGCCATGGAGGGCCAAGATCAGAACACAGATCCTGGCTCCCCATCAGCAAGTGCTCTGTCCATGTTGTGCCTGGTTTCATTCTCACCCAGCTCCTCTGTTTTGGGAGGGTTGGTTTTTCTGCACACTCCTGTTTCTCCTCCCCTGCTGTTCCCAGAGCTGGAGGTTCTGGGCAGTGACCCTGCCTAGTCAGATTGCTGAGGTTGGCATCGTGCAGAGCAGCAGCAGGAGAGGCCCTTGGTTTCTCTGGAGAAAACAAAGTTTAAATACCATCCTTTCCTTTCCGTCCCTTGAGACATATCCTGACTTTGGAGCCTGATGCCAAGAGAAATTGAGGGGTGTGATGCATGGAATGTTGGTTACATGGCTTAAATTTTTTTCACTCTCTCCTGGAATTGTTTTTATCTTTGCACCCTCATAGGACTGCGCTTATCAACCCTTGCCTTGCACAGAGCCTATAACTCAGTGTGTGTGTGTGTGTTTGAAGTCTGCACCACAGCACTGTTTGGAGCATTTGTGCTGAGTAAAATGTGGGAGCAGGGGTATGGTTCTGTGTTCTGGGTAGCCTCCGTGAGGGGCATGTACATATTGTATTAGTCTGTATGTGGCCAGTAGATTTTTTCATGTGCACTACGTGTGTGATACAAGCATGTGCAGTGTGCATGCTATGCTTAAGGGTGGGAGGGGTGTAGGGTGGGAGGGGTGCGAGTAGTAGGTTACTATGAATGCAGTGGGTCCTGCTCCCAGCCAGCACTGGGCAAGCCTATGGAGACACATAAGGTTGCCTGACTGAAATAAGATAAAGCACCAACACAAAACTCTTAAAAAAAAACCTTAACTATTATAACTTTTGGGAAAAATTGACCAAGAAAGACCATGCCTTATGTTAACATCTTTATTGGGCAGTATTTCTCTGGGTGCCCCAGTGGGGCTAGAAGGGAGTGCTGGTAAGAGAGGCTTTGGGGGGTGGGCGCCACAGGGGGGCTGGGAGGGACCTCAAGTCCTCTTCCAAGGAGCCTGCAGGCTGAGAGAGGGGAGCCTGGCCTTCTGTCAGGGCAGGAGCAACCTCAGATGAGCCGGGATGGCGGGGTGGAGGCCGGAGGCATC